CTTCAAATCCAGCTCTCTATTCGGCTCCAAATCTTCGCATTTTCCTGACACTTTGCACGCTTATAACTTTTGACTGAGTGCTCTATAGCAGAAACGGAAAACAGATTCGAAATCTGCCTTGAATTCTGCGTCGAATGGTCTATGGCTCATTTCATTTGGCTACATCCTACTGTTGCTTTTCCATTCTAAAGCCAGGATAGCCTTAGCCAGGATTTTGCGACTTTCAGCCTAAGGCCTGAGCTTCTCGAGGCTACCCCCAATCAATGAGAGAACCGTTATAAAGACGGCTTCAAATCCGGCTCTCTATTCGGCTCCAAATTTTCGCATTTTCAGCCTAAAACTTTAAACGCTTACAACTTTTGACAGAGTGCTCTATAGCAAAAACGGAAAGCATCATGGTGCTCAGCGTGAAATTTTGCGTCAAATGGTTTATGGCTCTTGTTATTTGGCCAGAGGATCCAATTGATTTTCACTTGTTATTAGCCACTCTGTAAATCTTTATATAATCGTGTTTCCATTCCAAGCTACAGTAAAACTATTAGGGTTACTGTAAGATCTAATATCAATTAGGCTACAGGTTACGGTAGGCAAACCACATTTTTAGAAGTTTAAAAGTTTAAGACTTTTAGAAGAAAGTCTTGAAATCTCATTATAGCCATAATCATTTATGTCAATTATTTTAAAATCTGCCCCTATCCAGGTGAAAAATTTGACAAATAGGTGCTAAACGGCTCTCCAATAGATGTGATGCTCGATAGGTGGATAGGTGGATAGGTAATGACCCATCATTATCCTCTTTCTCTTGTCTTTCTCTTTTCCATTCACATCTCATCTCTTTTGCATATTCATCCACGCCTTTTATCTCCTTTTCTTTCAATCTCCATTCTGCTGGGGGCAATTTTGGTAAAGCGAGGCGCCACGCGCAAGCCTAATTACCTGCAGAGTCGGTGCTTTTTGCTGTTGAAAGGAGATCGATGTCTAATTTTTTTGTCGATTTGACTATGTCGATTGGTCTAAACGGGTTGACCTCTCAATTTAATCGACTTCTTTGATTGAGCACTTTGATTGAGCACTTCCGATTGACCAACGGCAAGTCGGTGAAAGTTTTGAGTTCTAGATCTAGACTAGTCATTCTAGGATCTAGGCTTTGTAACTTGACTGCTAGTGTACGATTTTATTCCTTGTGTTTCTCATTACAATATCCAATACGGTTCCAATACGGTTCCAATACGGTACCTATCTTGATCTAATACGGTTCCAATACGGTTCCAACACGGTACCTATTTTGATCTAATACGGTTCCAATACGGTTCCTATTTTGATCAGTCTAGAATAGAGCGATTTCCTTTGATTAATTCTAATAAATTCTAATAAGTTCTAACAAATTCTAATAAATTCTAATAAATCTAATCAAATCTAATCTAATTAAAAGCTTTAAAAGACATTGATTACCGTAAGAAAATCGTCATTTTTCATTTCATTATTCCAATTTTGGCTAATTGATGAGGAATCAAGAATTAAAAGACTAATAAAAGACAAAATTTAAGCAATTCAAATATAGCAACAGCTTAATTACGTTTAGAAATGTTTTTGAAATTGAATTGAATTCAAAATCTTGTTTAGAAATAGCTCCAAATCTCCCAATCTCCAAAAAGTTCAATAAATTTTCTCCAAGTTAACGCAAATCATTTTTTTCAGTATAGATCTTTTCTTAAAGCCGGAAATCGACTTTTTTTCCTGAGCCATTCTAAAAAACCAAAACCAAATATAGCAGAGTTCCCTTTTCACAAAAACTCGTGTCAAAATGAAGCAAATGAAGCAATCTAAACGGATATTACGTTACTTGGAAAGAAACTTGTCAAATTTGGGAAAGAGTTGTCAGATTGCGCAATGGGGAAACAGAGAGAAAGAGAGGAGAAATCTCTCATTCGATGATCAGCATTTGTTTTTTCCTGTCTCTCTCGCTCACTTTTACTCACCAGATTCACACCAATTCAACCAATCTAATGAACACACTTACCGTAATCTCACAAACATTTCAAATAGTTGTAGGCCAGATAAAACTCAAGTAATAAACATCAAAACAAAAGTTTTACCAAAGAAGAAATCGAACTCGGGCAAAAGATGCGGCGCTCGTTTTGTAGGTAATCGTCCTATCCACAGAAAATTTCACTAAGGAAACCAACATGAGAAAAAAGCATCCAATGGACCATCAAGCCATGTTTGCGACCCGTGAGAGAACCGTTATAAAGACGGCTTCAAATCCAGCTCTCTATTCGGCTCCAAATTTTCGCATTTCCCTGACACTTTGCACGCTTACAACTTTTAACAGAGTGCTCTATAGTAGAAACGGAAAACAGATTCGAAATCTGCCTTGAATTCTGCGTCGAATGGTCTATGGCTCATTTCATTTGGCTACATCCTACTGTTGCTTTTCCATTCTAAAGCCAGGATAGCCTTAGCCAGGATTTTGCGACTTTCAGCCTAACGGCCCGAGCTCCTCGAAGCTACCCCCAATCAATGAGAGAACCGTTATAAAGACGGCTTCAAATCCGGCTCTCTATTCGGCTCCAAATTTTCGCATTTTTAGCCTAAAACTTTAAACGCTTACAACTTTTGACAGAGTGCTCTATAGCAGAAACGGAAAGCATCATGGTGCTCAGCGTGAAATTTTGCGTCAAATGGTTTATGGCTCTTGTTATTTGGCCAGAGGATCCAATTGATTTTCACTTGTTATTAGCCACTCTGTAAATCATTATATAATCGTGTTTCCATTCTAAGCTACCGTAAAACTATTAGAGTTACTGTAAGATCTATTAGGTTGGCAAAAAAGAAATGCGCGTTTTCGTTAAAAGTTTATTTTATTATAAAAACAAGATAACAATACATTAATCCAAAAGGTATTCTCCATCTGCATCAATGACTTGTCGCCAACGTTCACGCAGAGAATGGATGCCCTTCTTGAAGAACTCGACCGGCTGCGACTCGAAGAAGTTGGACACCCAAATTTGGACCTCGTCGCCGTTCTTGAACTTTTTTCTCGGCCAAGGAGTGGTGCATTGATCGGAACAGATGGTAGTCGGAAGGCGCCAAGTCTGGGCTGTATGGCGGATGAGGCAGGACTTCCCAGCCCATTTCTTCAATTTTCTGCTGGGTGATTTTTGCGACATGCGGCCGAGCGTTGTCGTGAAGGAATTTTGTCGACGCCGTATCCACACCTTGACGTCGCAGCGCCTGGTCCACGCGGTCCAATTGGCCTTGGTAGAGGTTCGCCGTAACTGTTTGACCCGAATCCAGAACCTCAAAGTACACCAGGCCTTTACTGTTCCACCAAACACAAAGCATCACCTTTTTTCCGTGGATGTCCGGTTTTGGAGCTTCACCGGGGTCCAACCACTGCCGCTTTCTTGCTGTGTTGCCGTATTGGATCCACTTCTCATCCGACATAACAATGGAGTCGAAAAACCCACTGTTCTTGGCGCGGTGAGTGAGAATTCCGGCGATTGCGATGCGTGTCGCCTTGTTTGCGTCGGATAGCTTATGCGGTACCCATTTTCCGCATCTATTCGTCTTGCCCATGCCATGCAGATGGTTCTCAATGGTGACATGAGTGAAGTCGAACTGTTCTGCCAGGTCGCGAGTGGTTTGGCGTGGATCCGACTCAATGGCTTCCTTCAATGCGTCGTTGTCGATGATTTGAGGTCGACTTCCGTGTTTTTGGTCTTCCAAGCTTTCGTCGCCGTCTCGGAAGCGCTGGAACCATCGTTTACACTGACTTTCGGATAGAGCATCTTCGTCAAACACTTGAGATAGAGCGCCATGAGCTTCAGCAGCCGATTTGCCTTGCTTAAATTCATGCCACAAGCAGGCCCGCAAACGAAATTTTTGGTCCGACATTTTCTAAACACTCTTTCTTGCAAAAAAAACAAAGTAAACATAGACAAATTATATATCAAACGATGCGCAAGAACACGCTCTTTCCAATAGAATAAACTATTTTAAAAAATCTTTTACTGTGAATAAAATACAAATCAACAAACACGACGCTCATTTCTTTTTTGCCAACCTAATAATATCAATTAGGCTACAGGTTACGGTAGGCAAGCCGCATTTTTAGAAGTTTAGAAGTTTAGAACTTTTAGAAGAAAACCTTGAAATCTCATTATAGCCATATCATTTATGTCAATTGTTTTAAAAACCGGAAAACCGTTTCTCATTTTGGTTTCCCTAGTCAAATTTTCTCTACCTTTTGAAAATCATTACGTTAGCTTTGTAAAATCAGTTATTGATTTCTATAGCTAGTTTTTTGGCTATGCAACAGAAAGAGTATGTTTAGAAGCACAATGAACAAGTTCTTTCATTCGTTTCTAGAGTTTATTGAATTGAGGTCATGTAAAATAGCAAAACTAAATGTAAAAGTTTGCCAATGTTCGTTAGCAAGTGATCTTTTGAAACGCTAAACTTCTGATTTTCTGATTTGGCATCTCTTTCTGACATTTCTGACATCTCCAATAGCTTAATTAGTTATTTTTGTTGCTCTAAAGATCTCAATGCTTTAACTGAAGCGATTTCTTGTTAATCAAATTCTTTATCAATAGAAAATCTCAATGCTATGCTGGGATAAGTTAGAAATGCAAATTGTTCAACAAAAAGATACAAATACGTAGAAAAAAAAGATACAAATCGATATGTGACTATGAAAAAAACCTGCTAGAAATGAATAATGGTTAAAAACCATTATCCAATGGTTAAAAACCAAGAGATCAAACATAAAAAAGAGATCAAAGTTGATTAAAAGTCAAAAGCAAACATTAAACAAAAAGAAACAAGACAAAAAAAAACGTTAAATTTGTTCCTATAAGTTTTCGGGTTTATAGCTCAAAAGTTTTCCTGAATTCATCAAACTAAACAATTGGCAAGAGTCAGCAAGAAAAGGACAGCTAACTAGGGCTTAAGAAAGAAATTGAATGGAAGAAATTGAATGAAAAAGTATTGAATTAATAAGGAGCTGGATTAGTATTGTATCCAGCATAAGGATCCGTGTAATAATATGGAGGAGTTGTTGTGTAAATGTGATTGTAAAAGGAGTAGTTGATTGTCGGACCGCCGTAAGGAGACCAAGCGGAGAAGTCTGAAAATCCCTTGTTTTTCAATTTTCTAAGTTAAAGAAATACTGAGGCTTGTAAACTAAAGCTTTAAACTAAAACTTTAAACTAAAGCTTTAGTTGACAAGCCTCAGTTTAAAGCTTTAGTTTATGGCTCATTGATGGCTCATTTCATTTGATCATCCGGTTATAACTTTTTACTGACTGCTCTATAGCAAAAACAGAAAACAGATTCGGAATCAGCCTTGAATTTTGCGTCGAATAATCTATGGCTCATTTCATTTGGTCATCCAGTTGAGATTCCTTGTAGAAAAAGAACTAATTCGTACTTATATATAGAATTATTCTTAATATAAGTTATATTATTAAACTTAAAAACTTAAACTGCTTTTAAACTCAATTACTTTTACGTTTCCTTTGAAGTTTACCTGTCGTTGTGGCAGCTGGCTCGGTGTATTTCCCCTCTAAATACTGCTTCTCGAACTT